TTTGTGACACAAAGGTGTATCTAAAAACTGAATATTAAATTGGGAAATATTCATTTTCCCTGTACCTCACTGCTACCGCATTGTGGACCACGGATTGTCTCAATAGCATGCTAATGTCCTTATTCTTTTTCTCTGATAGGCTAGCTGTTAGTCACCATCACTTTATGAAATAAAAGAAAGCTTTTAGGAAACGTCAGAAAGATTTTAAGAAAATTATTTGGCAGTGACAAATATCACACCCATATTATTCTGTTAGTACAGAATCCACTTTAACATCACTGTGTGGTATGCTTTAGATTTTATCCTGCCAAAGATGTTTGGTGTTTTGGTAAAGAAAGACTTCAAACTACGGGGTGACTAAGCAAAGCCCTTACATAAAGCTTGGAATGAATAGGATTTTATAAATAGTTTTAATGAAAGACATTTGAAAATAAGGACAAAAAAAAAGCTCATACTTATGAAAAATTATTTTCAGAAAACTATTTGAATTTCAAATTAAGTCCTATTCAAGTAAATATTAAAATAAACCATAAGATCTAAAGGAATTATAATATACACACAGCTTTCAAATAGTAGCTGCTTATTAAAAATTAAGTGTCTGAGGGTGTATTCCAATTTTATCCTCTTTAAATTGTGCAGCTTAGGTCAATGTTTATTTTACTGAAAATATTCGCAAAATTACAATACCAATACATGATTATATTAAGATAGGATGACTATATATAATGTACTCTTATCCATAGATATAAAATGAATGCAGTAAATATAGCATACTCTTGATGAATTGTTAGTACACAGTGTTTCTTAGTAAATTACATACAACCTATTATTAAGCAACGGTTATCTAGTTTTCAAATGTACATCTTAGGAAATTTTTAGGATGGAGGGATATACTAAATCCCCCAATACCCTTTTTGGTTGGTGAAAGTTAGCTCTTTTGCAAAGTTTGAAATAGTGTCAGATTTAGGTTTGTTCTTAGGCTCTTGACATTTTCTACATTTGAAACTTAATTCTTCAGGCATTTTTCTTAAGGACTCCACATCAGCCAACCATACTTTTAACTCTAATACAGTATCATGTACTGTCTGTTCATTAGTGAAACACATATTAACAATGAAGTAGAATCACTAAAAAAATTTGTCAGCACAAATTCCCAAAATTAACTTTCAGGGTATTATGGGGAGTCTCAACTAGATATAGTTTCAACTGTTACACTAATCTGGGCTAGAAAAAGCTTTTTTTAAAATTGGTTCTAGTCCTTAAGAATACAAATATGAACTCTACTTTAAAATTCTTTGTTAAATGTATTGGGATTTGTTTCGAAAGCATTGCCTACCCTTCTCCATTACACTGATTTAATGGAAACTTGTTACTATAGCAGTTCCAACATGAACATATGCATGCAAGAGATCACCCTACAGTCTACATAGTTACTGAAACACATCCCACCTGTCAAGTGGCATAAATGTACATCTTCTATATACAAAAGGTAAAGTGCATTATTAAATTAGTGAACTGACAGATTGTCTGCCTGGACCATATAGCTTTCAAATAGACAAATGTGAAATTCTCCCATTAGAACCAATTGTTTCAAGAGGTTCCAACTAGCTTTTCCACCCTGTCATTTATTTTTTGGCCATGCTCTTTAGTGCAAATAAGCTTGTGTTTGACTCAAGTTTAAGGGACATGGCAGTTTGGGGCTTTAACAAGGAAAATTATAAAATGTGGCAGAATTTTAATACTTTTATAATACATTGCATCTTTTGCATATAAGCAACAGATAAGTGCTGCTTTCAATTGCTAGGAGCATACTGCCAACTATCATGAGGAACCCGTTTCCAAATTTCATACTATTAGCTTATATTACTACAGTTTTGAGTCTGTACCACATTATGCTCGGATTATTATGTGCAAACATCATCAGTGTTTTAGAATTATACAGTGAACTAGCAATTTTGGTTACTACGTTAATGTTCATCTTTAAACTTCTAACATCCAGTTGCCTGAATACTTTAATGTCTTCAAGGCAGGGATCCTATCATTTTGAAGATTACCATGTACACTAGTAACTCCATTTATATTACAAATGACAATAAAGAAAATGTATATTGCACAGATAAGAATAGTAGCTTATTTTAGAAGATACATGGCAGCACATGTCCTAATGCCAGAGTTTTGAACTGGATCTCACTTGATTATACGGCAAATGAATGACTGGGAATTTTAAGCATCGAAAAACAACCAGAGCATCATTGCATTTTTCAATGACTACATTAACTGAAGAAATAGAATAAAGAACTGGCAGAAGGCTGAATGATTCTAAAGTATCGTCAACTGTCAGAATATACTAATACATCTGGCTAATCTGTAGTTTTGAAATGGTAAATACCTTGAAGTATACATACAAGGTAGAAAAGTTGGCTATTTAAGTAATGCAAAATTAAGCTACTAAAATTTATATATAATAAATTAAGGATATTTGTCTAAGTCTGACATGGTATGTATGTGTATATATATAACACACATATATGCACATATGCACATATGGATATATAAACACACATACTCAAAAGTTATCAGACTAAGAATGAAAAAATAATTTAGGCTTCATGGATATTATTTCAAAAAGGGAAGGTTTTAAGAAACAGAGTATATAGTCACTGCAATAGTGATAGGAACGCTCAAACACTGGAATATTCACAGCTCCAGTTTGCCAAATTCCGACAGGTCGATTATTATCAATAGGCACTATGATGGGCAGCAATAACAATCAGTAGTACAGTAATTCAAGTGCACACCACTCCTTCATATAGCAAAAACTACTTTTTCTCAAGCCTACTTAGCTATTTTACAGTTAGGACAGTTTAAAGATCCTTTGCTACTTTTAGAGTCTCAACATCCACCATGTGCTATTAGCTCTAGTACTAACTTGATCTTTCAACCTTCAGTTGTTCCATAGTGATGGTCCATGTTAAAACGAACTAAAGAGATTCCTTCAAATAACTTGAGGAAACTGTGAATAGAAACTGTAAACCAACACCAGCAGACATGCTGGGTGACTGCTCACTTATTTTTAAGCAATATTTCTCAGTGAAATTAATTTTCTTAACCCATATCACAAAGATTTCTTAGTGATCTTCCTTAAATGTATTTGGGAACAAAGCGCTGAAGTAAAAGAAGATTATGAAAATAATTTTGAATTACTTATAGCATATAAAAGAAGAGCTACATTCTGATCTCAATCCATGCAGCCAGCTCTAATCAATGAGAGCTATATTTGGGGGCTGAAATCAGCTTCTGGCTCTTAAACATGGTTAATAGGGACTTATTGTGTGGGAGACGAATAAAGCCAAGATAAAAGACAATAATTTAATTCAGAATAAAATGTAGCTCAACTGATAAAAATATTTGTCCATGAACATAGGGTGGGTTGGTACATATATACACAATACCCACTTGTCTAAAAATTTGTTTAAGTTTGAAGAATTTCTGTGGCACTTCCTGAAAAAAAATTTTTAATATAGGTAAATGGGTGAGTCTTGTGCAAAGTAAACCATTTTAAGTACCATAAAGACAGCACCTTGGAAAATACCTGAATTTTTCTTGCAGATATTTTCATAACCAATCTTCAAATAATATTTTCCCCAGGCTGAAAATTTATATTCCAAATGCTTTTTTTAAAAAAAAAAAAGTTTTATCCCCCTGCGAGTTGCCCCCCCACCCCCACCCCACCTCCCATTAAAAACACTTGTAAAAGCCAGGCTTGAACTGGAAGTGTTGACGTGACTCCACTGGTAGCAACTGCCAAAGTGCTACTGAAATATATCATTACAGATGTATTTTTGTATCAGTTAACTGGTGCACCAACCCCTCTGAAATAGTGCTAAGGAAGAAGCACATAACACCTTGAGTCCATGATGGATTTTTTGGGGAAAAAAGAAAAAAAATCTCTCACGACTTTCAAATCAGCATGAAAAACTAACACCAAAGATTTCCATAGCAAAGCCATAGGATCGAGCCTCCCACTCCACAGGGACAGGAAAGTCACAGACAAAAACCTCGGGGAAGTCAACAGAAATAAATACGGCACAATAAAACAGAAGCGAAGACCACCGGTTTGTAACTCGTTCCGGATAACCGAGCGAGACTCTCCCATGGCTTTGATATGGCAACTCTAAACTGCAGGGTCACCACAAAACGTGAAAGTTTGGACTCTGGTACCTCTCGGATTTGCCTCGCGAGCAAGTCCCGGTCAAGACTCAGTCATTCATTCAACGGACAGTTCACGCATTTCCACGGCGTTAAGTGCCTCCTCGTCATCCTTCTGTGGTAACTGCCCTACAGGTGAGTTTAGCAGCTTCGAATGGAGTAAGAAAGAGTCGATTCCGGGGAAACTTGTGAAGTAGAAATTCACGCTTCCGGATCGGGTCTGTGTGGTTTCTTTGTTTTTGTTCTTTTTTTCCCGAATCATGTCCTAGTGCAAAGTAAATTCTAAGCGGCCGGCCGGGGCGTTCCGTCTTGTGCTGACGTGCGTGCGTGCTTGAGAGAGTCCTGGGCGGTCTGATCTGACTGACCAGTCAGCTCTGGGGGGAGGCTGTGGGGGGTCCCGAGAGCTCGATCTCGATCGCGCCGCCCGCCACGCGTCACACGGCGGCCGGCCACGTGGGAACCGGACCTCCTGACGTCAAAGCCCCTGGAGGGCCCGCTGACAACAGCAACGGGCCCCAATAATAATAATAATAAACAATAATAATAATAATAATAAATTAAAAAAATAAAAAAAGACAGAGGAAAAGCTTCTCGCCACAACCACGATCGGGCTAGTCGAGGCTCTCCCGCTCCTCCCCGCCGCCGCCGCCGCCGTCGGGCCGCTTCTCCTTGGGGCTGCTGCAGAGCCTCCGCATCTCCTCCTCGTACTTGATGAAGTTCTCCCCGAAGCGCGTCCAGGCCTTGAGGGGCACGGTGATGGTGTTGCGGTAGGGCGGCCGGACCTCACTTACCTTCAGGAAGACGCCGTACTTGTTGGCGCCCACGTCGAAGTAGAAGCGCTTGTTGTCCACGCGCAGGGACGCGCCCTCGGGCAGCTCGGGCGGGTCCCCCGCGCCGCCGAGGCCGCCGCCGCCAACGCCGAGGCCGCGCTCCCCGGGGTCCCCCTCGCCGTAGGCGTCCAGCAGCTGGCCCAGCGCGTCGCGGAACTCGATCAGGCCCTGCGCGGGCAGCACGACCGCCTGCTCCTGGCCCCCCGGCGCCGCCGCGCCCAGGTAGCCCGGCGCGCCGCCCCGCGAAGGCGTCTGCCGGATGCGCAGGAAGCGGCCGCGCTGGTTCTCCTTGAGGTCCAGGTAGTACTTGCGGTGGTCCCGCTCGATGAAGTCGGTCTTGAGCACGCTGTGCGGGGGCTCGGCCGAGCCCCCCGAGCCGGGCGGCGAGGGCGCCGCGGGCCGCGCTCTCCGCCGCGCGCCGGGCTCGGCCCCGCCGCCAACGCCAACGCCAACGCCGCCAACGCCGAGGCCGCCGCGCGCGGGCTCGGGCCGGGGCCCCCGCAGGCCCAGGTGCGCGTAGTGCTCGATGAAGTCGCCCAGGCAGTCCTTGAGCTCGGCGGCCACGGCCAGCGACAGCGTCAGCTTGCTCTTGCGGACGTGGTCCTGCCGGCCGCGGCCCACCCACACCTCGGCGATCTTCAGGAAGCGGCCGCGCGCGCTCTGCTTCACGTCCAGGTAGAAGCGCTTCTTCTGGATGTCCACGCGCTTGGAGGCCAGCTCCTGGATCTCCGCGGCCGCGCCCCCCGCCGCGTACTGGGGGTAGTGGGCGTGCGGGGCCTGCGGGTAGAGTCTGCTCTTGCTCGCGCCAGAGCCCCCCACGCTCTTGCCGCCGCCGCCGCCGCCGCCGCCGCCGCGCCCGCGGCCGCCGCCGCCGCCGCCGCCGCCGCCGCCCCTCCGCCGGGCTCTTTCCATCGTCAGCTGCAGGCGACAAACAGACACACGGAGGGGGTGGGGGAGGGAGCGGGCACCGGCGAGGCGCCCCGCGGCCGGCCGCCCCCGCCGCCGCCGCCGCCGCCGCCCCGGGACCCCCGCCCGGCCCCGGCGTCCCGGCGTCGCGGCCGGGCTGGCTGGCGGGCGGGCGGGCGGGCGGGCGGGCGTCCGCGGCCTCCCGCTCCCGCACGCCCGCCCGGGGTCCCCGCCGCCGCCGCCGCCGCACGCACACTCACTTCCACGCCGCCCGCGTCCTCCTCATCCTCGCTGCCGCCGCCGCCCTGCGCGACCGCCGCCGCCGCCGCCGCCAGCTCTCGGCCCCGCCGCCGCCGCCGCCCCCCGCCGGCTCCCCCGCCGCCGCGGCCGCTCGCGCCGCCCCCCGCCCGAGCCGCGGGGCAGGGGCATCGCCCGCGGCGCCCACCCCCGCCGCCGCCGCCGCCGCCGCCCCTCCAGCGGCCGCGCGGGGGCCGCAGCCTCGGAGCCCGCACAGGCCCGGCTCCGGCCGGGGAGGGGCAGGAGAAAGGAGCGCGCGCGCGTGGAAGTGTATGTGTGCGCGCGCGCGCGTGGAAGTGTGTGTGTGTGTGCGCGCGCGCGCGCGTGCGTCGGGGCTGCTGCGCGGGGGGCGGGCGGGCGACCCCGCCTCCTCCCGCACAGGCGGCTGCGGGGAGCGGGGGCGCCTCTCGCGCGGCTCCGCGGGCAGCGCCCCGCCCGGGGTCCCCGGGCGCGAGCGTGCGCGCGCGCGGGGTGACAGCACAGGTGTGAGCCCGGGACCGCGGCGCGGGCGGGGGGGGGGGCGGGGCCGTGCGCCGGCTTCTCCGGAGTCCGCCCGCCACTGCGGCTGCAAGCGGAACTACACTTCCCGGCGTGCCCCGCGGCCGCGAGCCGGTCTGCGCACGCGTGCCGCGCAGCGCGGGGGCGGGGCTGCCGCGCGCGCCCGGCGAATCCGGCCGAGGCGGGGAGCGGAAGGCGAAAGGGGCGGGTCCGGCCGGAAGCGAGTCTCGGCGGCGTGTGAGTCTGGGTGTGTGACGCCGCGCCGGGCGCTCGGCCAGCGCGGGAACCCGCCGTGGCCTGCGGTGGGCCCGGGGTCGGCCGGAGCGAGCCGCTGAGGAGACCGCGCAGCTCTCTGCGCCCCGGTCGCCCGCGCTTCCCGCCTCTCCCTCCCTCCGGGCCGGAACCCCTCGCTGCGGGCCGGCCCCGGGATCCGGGCCTTGGGCCCCCTCAGAGCCCCGGGGCGCGGCGGGTCCCGCGGGCACCCGGCACGACCCCACGCCGCCCGCCCGCCCGCCCGCCCGCCCCGGGGACGCTTCATGGGGCGCCTCTGAGCCCGGCGCCGGCCAGGAGCAACGCTGTGGTGAGTTTCTGGAGCTCGGACCCTTGCCACCCCGCGCTGCGGTGTGCCCGTTTTCTGGACGTGGCTGCGGGGTTGTGAGAGCGTGTGGGGGGAGACGCGCCGTGGCCGAGGGGCGGCGGGTGCCCCCTCGGCGCCCCCCGAGCTGCCTTGGCGCCCGCGCTCTGAGGAGGTGCCCGAGCTCGGGGCACGGCGTGCCTGAGGGTGGAGGAGCGTCGCGGGGCTTGGCAGGTGGAGGGGAGAAGAGAGGCGTCAGCGTCCAGGGTGGGGGGAGCCCACCGCCTCGGTCCTCGGGGAGGTGCCCGGGGTGATCCAGTCAGGAGGGAGCGCGCGGGGTGATCCAGTCAGGAGCGAGCGCGCGACCTGGACCCTCAGCCACCCGTCCCAGGCCGGAGCGCCTCAGGGCGTGGCGCAGCCTCTCTCCGCCCTGCCCGCCCGAAGTCCCTGTCCAGGTGCTGCCCAGGGGAAATGTTCAGCTCTTGGCGCCCCACTTGTGGCAGCCTCTGTTCCTCCGGAGCGTCGCTGTTGCCCGGGTGCTGGCGCCTGTTCTCGTCAGTGCCCGTGTCCACAGGGCAGGGCTGGCCTTCACCGGCTTTTGCTATTTTAAGGCTGTGGAGAGTAACTTTGTTATGATTATTATTTTTGGGAGTGCTCCGTCTGTGGGTACTCCTGGGCTCAGCACTCGGGAATTATTACCACAGGAGCCGCCGGGGGGAGGGGGGGGAGGGGGGAGAGCCTATGGGATGCCCGGGATCTAACCCGGGGTGGGAGGGCGGGCTGTGTGTAAGGCAGACGCCCTCCCCACTGTGCTCTCTTTCTGGCCCTCAAGAGTAGAATCACAACGTTGAATCACAACTCCTTGATTTTATTCTCTGAGAATGCCTTGCCTCGCTTTCCTGTCCCGCCTGAGTGCTTTTATCATAAGGAAAAGTGGGATCAAGAGTGTGAGTGGTCAGGGATTGCACCTAGAAGCTGGGCAGGGAAGATCCAGAGGTAGTTTTTTTTTTTTATATAATTTATTTATTTATTGAATCACTGTGGGAAAAGTTGCAGAGCTTTCGGGTTTAGGTCTCAGTCATGTAAATATCAAGCACATTTCCCTTTACTAATACTTATTTTTAACCCTGAACCCCAATAGACCCCCACCTCCCACCCCTCCCAATTCTTGTGAGGCAGATGAGCTCTAGTTAATACTCTATCTACTTTGACTAGATAGATTGTTTCGATAGAAGATGCACAATTATTGTTTAGAGTTTACGACCCACCCCCCACAATCAGACATGCTGAAACAGCGTTGTGAAATGATTTGCTTTCTACAACTTGGTTTAAGGATAAAATGATGTCGCGCGGCCGCAAAAGCGGCCACACGGTTTTGAATTTCTGCTATTTTACTTATTGACCCTGGAAGAATTTCTATTAAAAGTTAGCTAGTTAAGAGATTGGTTTCTGTGCCCTGGAGTCGTGGCCGTGCCGGAGAGCCTCCGTGGGGGGCAGCTGGCGACCTTGGTGGGGTGTGGGGGACGGCCCACAAAGCCCCCCTTCCCATGAGGTCCCTGCCGCTCCCGCCAGCCCCGGCTCAAACCTGCAAGGCTCCCGTGCGGCCGCCATCTTTCTTTCCAAGGTAATTTTTTTTAAATTAAATTAAATTTTTTTTTTTTTTTTTTTTTTTTTGCTTTTTGGGTCACACCTGTCGTTGCACAGGGGTTCCTCCTGGCTCTGCACTCAGGACTCACTCCTGGCAGTGCTCAGGGGGCCATATGGGATGCTGGGAATTGAACCCAGGTCGGCCGCGTGTGCTATCTCTCCAGCCTACCCGCTGTGCTATCTCTCTAGCCCTTAACTGTCGCTGTCACTGTCCTCACGTTGTTCATCAATTTCCTCGAGCGGGCCCAGTAACATCTCCGTTGGAGACTTTGTTGTTACTGTGTTTGGCATATCGAATGCGTCACGGGGAGCTTGCCAGGCTCTGCCGTGTGGGCGAGATATCTCTCGCTCTCCAGCCCTTAATTTTATTTTTTAATAAAGTTGTTTATATGATGGTTTACTACAGGTAGTATATTACAACAGCAGTCCCACCACCATTATTTTCAATTTTCTCAGCCACCCCTCCACCCTGTCCCTATGACAGGTCCTGACTAATTTATTGTATACTGTTTGTTACAAATAAGTCCCCAAAATGATCAAAAATTGTTGTCTTAGAAGAAAGTGTGGAAGATTGTTGTATCTCACCTTGGAGCCGGTCAGCCCTTGTATAAAGATTACTGACTTTACAGATTTAAGTCTTATGTGTTGATGTATTGTTAATTGAGGTTGGTTACAGTCTACTTTACATTCCATCCAATGTGGTGTGTGCTACTCGTGGTTTATCAGTGATACAGAGTTTGAGATGTTGGGTGGCCGCGAATGTGGCTTTGTGTTCTAGGCATTCCAAAATTTTGAATGGGGTGATACAGCTGGAATTAATTTTTTAACTGCATGGTGACTTTGGGTGCCCCTGACAGCTCAGCCTGGTGTTGCTGCAACTTGTTGATCTCTTTTGAGGTTTATATATAAGCCTCTGGATCATGGCCGGTCAGTGAGTTTATTTGGCTCCAAAGGCAGTTCATGAGCATGACTGCCAGGCTCCCAGAAGAACAGGGAGATGCAGGGAGGTAGCCCATCCCCGACTCCATGAGAGCCTGGAGATTTCAGTCACAAACCCTGCAGATTTCAGTTACAAAACCCGAATACTTGAGTTTTTCAACAGATTAATTCTGGATGAGGCTGGTCGAGGGCTTACCCCACCCCTTCTGGGGTACCTCAGATGACTCAGACGGGTGAGGGATCCGGAAGCATCTCTGCCTCCTGAGGTTTTTTTTTATTAAAGAGCTGGAGGACTTGAATGCTAGCTTTCTGGTCCTTGGGGGTAAAACGGAACTACAGAATCTCAAAGAGAGTCATCTTCCTTGGTGTTCAGAGAGGTCCACATATGGGAGCAGAATAAAACAGTAGGAAAAGAATTACCAGAGGTGAAATGAGACAGGAAAGAGCACAGGACAGATAGTATAGGATTTTGGAGCAGTCTTGAAAATTTGGGTTTTCATTCTGATGGAAATGGGAAGCTACTGAGGTGTTTTGTTAGAGAAAGACCATGATCTGAATGATCTAAAACTATTGTGGTTAGAATATATATAGCAAAAATGGACACTTTAGCTTTTTGATTTTGCCATGTCGGGCATCCAAAATAGGGCCTCCCGTGTGCAAGGCAGGTGCTCTGCCACTGAGGTAGAGCATCTCCAGCCCTTAACCATTGTAAACATACTCTTCAGTGACCCAAATTTTATTCATTGTATTGTACAACCATCACTTCTTTTTCTTTCTTTTTTTTCTTAATTTTTTTTTAAATCACAGGGAGATATACAGTTACATGGTTATTTATGATTGGGTTTTAGTTATATAATGTTCCAACACCTGTTCCTTCACCCCTTTACTACTGTTTCTACTAGGATGTTCATTGAGGTTTTTAGAACTATATTCCATCATTTTCTCATACTATGAATCAAGTGTATACTCCTTTGTATGTAAAGTCCTTTGATCTTGCTGCTTTTAACCTTCTAATCTTTTAGTTTTGTGATTACAGTATGTCTTGGGCTGT